TCTCCTTGATTTTGTAGATGAGGCAACACAGGCAGGGAGAGTTGTTCAAAGTCACACTCAAATTAGCTAGTGGCCATCGGGGTCCAATGCAAAGGACCCCTTTTTTAATACCATGCTGCTCATAAAAGAAACAGGCCAGAGGCAGTGGTTTATGCCTGTTATCCCAGCACCTTGAGAGGCCTAGGTGGGAGGATTGCTTCAGGTCAGGAGTTTGAGACCAGCCTGGGCACCATAGCAAGAACCTGACTCTACAGAAAAAAAAATTTTTTTTAATTGAAAAACATGTTTGAAAAAGGAAAAGAGTACATGATTCTACTTCTTTAAGCTAAAGGTGTGTTTACCTGACCTGCAAAGACAATGGCCCTCACTAACCTTGGCTATGCTGGGATCATCTGTCAGAAGTTAACATTAGAAAATAAAGAGCAGGCTCAGCACCTGTGGCTCAAGCGGCTAAGGCACCAGCCACGTACACCTAAGGTGGCGGGTTCAAATCCAGCCCGGACCCGCCAAAACAACAATGATGGCTGCAACCAAAAAGTAGCCAGGCGTTGTGGCGGGCACCTGTGGTCCCAGCTACTTGGGAGGCTGAGGCAGGAGATGTGCTTGAGCCCAGGAGTTGGAGGTTGCTGTGAGCTGTGATACCACGGCACTCTACCCAGGGGGATAGCTTGAGGCTCTGTCTCAAAAGAAAGAAAATAAAGAGCAAAATTGGAATAAAAGAGACCACCCATTCAAAAACCATTGAAGGTTTTTCTAGAATAGTCCACACTAAAGATGTTTTGTCCAGTTATCACCATAAATACATTCATTCTGGTCACATTACGTCAGTAAGGCCTCACTTAACATCATCGATAGGTTCTTGGAAACCGTGCCTTTAAGTGAAATGTACAGCAGGTCCTCAAATAAGGTCCTTTTGTTCAACGTCATTCTGTTATAATGTTGATGAGGAAAAGAAAATCTTTCATTCAAAGTCATTTCTCTTAAGTCACAGTTTCCAAGAACCTACTGGCAATGTTAAGGGAGGACTTACTGATCTGATTTCTGGTTAGGAAGAAACTTGTAAAACGGCTGGATTGTGTGGCAGAGCCCTGCTGACTGCCAGAATCCCCTTTCATTCAAATGCTGTCTCCTTCATGTGAGTTCAGAACCACCAGATCTAGAGTTACTTTGTGGAGTGAAAGGCTTTGACTGGATGTATTAGTTATGCTGCATAACAATTCACCCCCAAATCACAGTGGCTTAAACCAATGCACATTTATTACACATATCTCACATTTTCTTTGGGTTAGGAGTCTGGACACAGCTTAAGTGGCTTTTCTTTCAGGCTCTCTCCCAGGCTGCAGTAAAGAAATTGGCCAGGGTTAGGGTCTCATCCCAAGGACTGACTGGGGCAAGATCCACTTCTAAGGTCACATAGTTGTTGGCAGAATTCAGTTCTTCCAGAGCTGCTGATGACTGGGGGCTTCTGTTCCTAGCTGGCTGTGGGCCAGAGGCTACCATCAAGTCTTTGGCTTGTAGACTTCTCCAGCAAGGTAGCTTTGTTTCTAAAGTACGCAAACGAAGAAGGTTAAGGAGGCAAGGAGGAGAGCCTGCTACCAAGATGGATATCTCGACCTATGTTCTCATCATAAGAAATGGGCTACTATTTAATTTTTTATTACTCACTATGCTGGGCTCTGCGTTAAACACCTTACATATATGAATCAGCTCGTGTAATTCTCACAATCGTGTGGCATAGACATTACTATCTTCATTGTTGAGAAAATGTTAACATTAGAGGGACTAAATAACTGGCTCAAGGTCAAATAGAAAACGGCAGCACTCAAAGTCAGGTCTGTCAAACGTCAAAGCCCATGCCTCTACCCACCACCATGACTGAATTGACATTTTACCTAAACACTCAAATGCACCCTTCTTCCTGGTTCCATGGTTGCCCCTTCAAGTCTAGTCCTCCTGCTCTACTGACAAAAACGGCCTCTTAGTGTAACCTCCTATCCTGGGTCTCCCCCATCTAATCCTAATACCACGTATATGCCCTCTTTTTCTTTGGTACCATATTTAGTACTTGCCCAGCTCTGAGTTGGAAAATTATCACTTTCTCCCTCTCTCTTATCATAGAATAATAGAATGTTAGAGCTGGAATGATCACATTTGTGTTGCCAAGCTGCCAAGCTCTAACTCAAAAAATGCCTCACCATCTCCCTTTCTTATCAAAGAATCAAAGCATCAGAGCTGGAAGAGATTTTAGCTTTCTATTTTTTTTTTTTTTTTTTTTTTTTTTTTTTTTGGCCAGGGCCAGGTTTGAACCCACCACTTCTGGTATATGGGGCTGGCACCCTACTCCTTTGAGCCACAGGCACCACCCCCTTAACTTTCTATTTTGCACAAATTCTTTCTGAAGTTCATTTTTCCTAAGTTATGGGGTAGAGGGCAGTGAGAGAGGAGACTAACCTGGAGTTCCATGTGCTCTGCTCATACTAAAATCACAGTAGCTCAGAGGGTGGCAGAAGGTGCCGGCTTGATGGAATAATGGGAGATCTGGGATAATTTATAGTAGCCTGGGGAAGAAGAGCCCCTGATCAGAATTCCCTCCGCATGGTTAAGGGTGGCTATTTGATCCCTGAACACCCCTTTTCTGACAAAATTACAGCTGAGCAGGGGAACTAGAGGACTAGGCCCTTCCTTAAGTGTAACTCAGATGGGGATATACAATCAACAACATTGACAGACCAATAAATGCAAGGGGTGACAGAGGAAAGCACTTGCCAAGCTGGGTAGGTGGTGGCACCACTCATGGTGACAAGAAGACCTTGGGGGAGGAGAGAAAAGGGCAGTTCTGAATGTGCTGCTTTTGAAGACCTGTGGGTCTTAGGCTGGGAGTAGAGGCCATTAGATGAAGCAAGATGATAAAACTCAGTTGCTGAAGCTGGATGATGGGCCTAAAGGGTTCTTTGTACAATCTGCTCCATTTCTGTGTGTCTCTAAAATTTATGGAGATCCCTTTGCATCCTTACAACAAAAACCCTTTTCACTAGATTAGCTTAAGCATGATTATGGTCCTTGCAATGAAAGATTCCTTGATGAAGACATTCATGTAAAATCTTCACAATTTCACACAATAGCTTCATGGTTATGTTCATTCAGTTAACAAATTATAATGTTAGTCCCTTGAGCGTGCAAGTTATCTTGCCACTAAGGATTCAAAAGAATATCTCCCAGACCCTGCCCTTACAGAGATTAAATCAAGACCAGGGAAATAAGAAATTTTGTCCGTGAATAGTTAAAAATAGCCTAACACATTTCAGGACTGTCTATTCACTGCTACAGAAAGAAAGGGCCACAAAAGTTCAAAGGCAGAAAAGGTGGGTGGGGGCTGCAGTTGTCAGGTGAGGCTAATCTAGAGAAGGCAGGACTTGATCTGGGTCTGGAACTAAGCCTCGGGTAGGAAGGTGCCTGAGCCCAGGGTCCCCATTTCTCAGCTGAGCACTATTACCTGAATCACAAGAAAATAGCTACATTTGATCTTAGCCAAAAGGCTGAGAAGCAATAGGAAAATAGCTAAAAGAAAAAAACACTTTGCAGATACCAATCTTGCAAGCTTAACCCTATAATGTCTCATATGTTGCAGGGAGATGCTGCTACAGCTGCACGCGAGAGAACTGAAGAAAGGAGGAGCTGAGATCACCACCCTTGCCGTGTTCATGAGGCATGGGAAGGAAAAAGCCATAACCAATAGAAGGGAAATCATTTCAGGCTTCCAGAGCTGCAGGGGGATGTGTGTAGACGGCTCCCTTGGAGAGGGGGTGGAGCAGCAAACGAAGAAAGCAACAGGTGGACCTGCATCACAGATGCCTTTTTATAGTCCCCTTCTCTTGAGAGCCAGTGAGACAGGCCTTATCTTTCCCACTTTCAAGATGAGGAGTGGGTGTGAAGGGACTGACAACAAGCTCTGGCTTGTTTCCATCGGTGCGCTTCTGTGCAGGGACCTTAAAGACTTGGAGTGATGGGCTCGGCGCCTATAGCTCAACCGGCTAGGGCGCCAGCCACGTACACCTAAGGTGGCGGGTTCAAATCCCCAGTCCGGACCCGCCAAACAACAATGATGGCTGCAACCAAAAAATAGCCGGGCGTTGTGGCGGGCGCCTGTGGTCCCAGCTACTTGGGAGGCGGAGGCAGGAGACTCGCTTGAGCCCAGGAGTTGGAGGTTGCTGTGAGCTGTGATGCCATGGCACTCTACCCAGGGGGACAGCTTGAGGCTCTGTCTCAAAAAAAAAAAAAGACTTGGAGTGATGTAGAGTGTGAAAAATAGGTACCTAGTGAACATCGGACAATCTGTCCTGCCCCTGCTATCCAAGGACATTCTTTGGGCTCGGGGTCCTCATAAACCAATATACCAGTGTTCATTCAGGGCTCTCTACAGTGTTTCCAAAATTTTAATATGCATAGAATCACCTGGAGATGTGATCCAAGGAGGTCTGAGACTCGGATCTAATAATGCTGACGGTACACAGACCGCTTTGAGCAGCTAAGGGCAGTGGCTCTCAAACCTTTTCTGCAATTCAAATCACTTGGAGGATTTCTGAAACTCCTGGTGCCTGTTTCCAACCTTCAGAAATTGTGATCTAATTGATCCGGGTATGCTCTGGACTTAGAAATTTTGAAAAGATCTCCACGTGATTCTAACTAGCGGCAAGCTCAGGAAACACTGCTCTAGTGCTCACAGAGGAGGCGTGTCCAGAGGATGCAAAGAAGCGAGTCCACAGTAGAGCAACCGATAATACAGCACGAACAGTCTAGTTTAAATTATGTAAGTCTAGTACTTTCTAGATTCTAGAAGGTGGTGGCTCATGGTAAACAAGTCACGCGTAAGGAATGCCTCAGATTTTGCGCCGCCTGCCTGCAAGGCGCGAACAGTTCCTCTGCAGACGCTGCGATCCCCCCTCTCACGCACCGCTGGAGAGTAGCAGGACGCCGCTGGAGCTCTAGGCGCTTGCGCGGACATGGCGCCGGCGTGGGGCGGGGCCTGCGTCAGCGCGCCTGTGCTCCATGCCCCGCCCCTAGGACTGTCCTCGCGGAAGTGTTCCGGGATCGCGCGTCAGGTGCGCCTGGAGCGGTGGGTTGGGCACCCTGGTTCGCTTCACGTGGCTCCGCACTTGGCCGCGTGCCGAGGCGAGGGCCGCGGAGACTTGGGCGTCCTGGAGGATTCGGTCTCAGTCGCCGAGGCGGTATCGTCCCTGACCCTTGCAGATGTGTTCGTCGCGGTAGATGAGGGCCCGGCCCTGCCTCCGCCGCCTCCCGCGCATACCAGGAGGTTCATCTGCTCGTTCCCAGACTGCAGCGCCAATTACAACAAGGCCTGGAAGCTTGACGCGCACCTGTGCAAGCACACTGGGGAGGTAACGAGATGTGGAGCCCAGCCCTGGGACTAGGGAGCGCGGTGGCTCACCAGGTGGGCGTGGCCCGGGACGGCATGTGTCCCCGGGGCAGCCACTGCAGTCGTGCCCAGGGCACAAGGCCGCAGGCCCCTCTGTGTGATATGTTCGGCTCTGGCACCCTGGACTTAGAGAAGGAACTGAGGAAGTGGACAAAAATTCTAGGACCTTCGTGTTGGGACCGCGGCGTCGTTGCCACGAGTTCAAGGCTTACCAAGCAACCATTTCCCCATTTTTGATTTTGAGTCTTGGCCAGACATGCACCTTACCATAGTCTGTAAAGACGAATACGTGTTGATGGCTCACTACCACCAGAAACCTAACACGTGCCAGGGGTTGTCAGCCTGGAAAATGTGGAGTCATCTTTGTCGTCCCAAATCCCACACAGTTATTAAATACTAAGTACCTACTGACTCAACTGGAGCTGCTTGAGGTTCCGTGGCTCTGCTCCAGATGTACAGCTCAGTCCTCCTGCCCACTGGCTTTGCTTCTAGTTATCTCATTGAGGGCCTGGTGGTATGTTTTCCTTAGATACACAAAACCGGTTATTTGGGGGACATGTCCCTATAGTTCAAAATGGAGTACCTCCTCCCAACTCCTCGGTCTCAAATCTCAAATGGTGGTTGCAGTTAGGAATATGAGCTGGTTTTTGGTTGTGCCCTGGCACAGGTGAGCTTTTTTAGATGTGTGACGCATTTTCCATGCCTGATACTCTCTTAGCACAGACTTAGCACAGGGCTTGTTCAGGATGAGGCAGAACCTGCTTGTTCCTCTGCCCTAGCCTTTCTCAAGAACAGTGGTTCTCAACCTTCCTAAGGCAGCGACCCTTTAATACAGTTCCTCATGTTGTGGTGCTTAGCAACGAAAATAATTTTATGGTTGAGGGTCACCACAACGTGAGGAAGGGCATTAGGAAGGTTGAGAACCACTACTTTAGAAGTAGTGGAGGATCTACACAGACAGGCCATGCTAACCAGAAAGTAATCTTGCAGGGGGGTTGTTTGGAAGCCTGATGACTGGTTACAGATGTCCTCAAACTACAGCCCGCGGTCCACATGCAGCCCGCCTAGGACATTTATCTGGCCCGCTGGGTGTTTTTGCTGCCACTGCCTCTCCTGCTTAGCAGCTGACTCGTCCCAGGGCCGGCAGTCTGGCCCTCCAACAGTCTGAGGGACAGTGAACTGGCCCCCTGTTTAGGAGCAGGTTAACAATGGAGTGAAAATCTGTGGCAACATGGTGAGAATGGGTGATATTTATGTTTTGTAACTTCATGCAGGAAAACCTTGCCTTGGTGTAGCAGGTGCTCAATACATTGAGTGGAGACCATCTCTAGACAAGGAGTCTGGGGCTTTACTTACTAGACACTTTAAGCTTTTAAATAATAATCAGAATTAATAACTAGTAACATGTTTTTTCTTTTCTTCACAATAGAGACCATTTGTTTGTGACTATGAAGGGTGTGGCAAAGCCTTCATCAGGGACTACCATCTGAGTCGCCATGTCCTGATTCATACTGGAAAAAAGCCATTCATGTAAGTGGTGGACTCTTTAGGATTTTGAAACAGGCTGTATTTGGCATACAGACTTGATAAGAAGATTGATTCATAAGATGAAGAATGTCCCCCTCACCCACAAGCCCCTGAGGCCACACACCAGTCTCAGTGTCGTCATAGAGCAACAGGTGCCCTGGTCCCACTGCAAGACAACTTTGCGGTCAGGGGTTGACGGGCTGAGCTCCACCACTGTGCCCACGCTGCCCTTGCTGCCATCCTGTTGGCCCCACTTCCAGCCCACGCCACATACCACATGCATGCCTACCTGCACACCATCCTGGGGGTCTGGGTCCATGGTGGGCGGGGCTGCTCAGGTACCTGAAGGCAAAGGGCACCCTCAGGGCATCTGGAGGCCATAGGAAAAGACATGTGGGCCCAGGAGGAATGAGGCTAGGGGTGGGCAGGAGGACAGGTGCAAGTGCCCAGGGACTGGGAGATAATGAGCATGCTCCTAGAGACCCAAGACCAGCCCGGAGGGAGTGTGGAGGTCAAGGTCAGGAGCCACCACAGTCTGGCCCAAGGGCTCAGCAATTAGACCTGACAGAGATTCTGAGCACCCAACTGTACTGGTGGGTCCCATACTGGGTGGGCAGTACAGTCAGCCACCAACATTAATTTGTTTAGAAATTAATGGCTCTATCTCCAAAAAAATAAAATAGAAACTAATGGGTTTGAATTGTAGATATCAACATGGAAAGTGAGGCAATAAAGCTTCCAGAAGAAAACAAATAAACAAAAAGGATGAAGAATGTGAAGCTTCATTCATTCTCCTATATAAGAGCAGAATAGATTTTGAATGTATGAAAGAGAATAGGGGCTTTTTGGGTCATTTGTAATAATAAACTCAGGAGTGTAATAAACTCAGGAGTGAGTTAATCTGAAGTTCTCTTGAGTTTGCATCCTCTCATCTCTCGTTAAGATACATAGAAAACAAATCAAGCTTAAAGACACATAGTTCCATCAACCTTCCTAATGCCGCAATGTATTTTCATTGTTACAAAGGGGTTGTGACCCACAAGTGGAGAACTGCTGGACTAGATGGAAATCGTTCCCGGGAAAGATCTTGGCCCAGAGTTGTCAGGGTCTTTATGAACAGCCCATTCTTAATAAGCTACTGGTATCAGAAATATAAGCAAGAAGTAGAGCTTTTAATAGTTTATCTTGTGTTTCTTTGAATTAGGCCTTTGCACCACTAACAGACAAGTTTTAATTTATTCTACCAGGAATTGCTGATTATATCTCAGAGGGTGGAGATACTGCTTTCCTATGAGCTAATTCTTTAAGACAGTGGATCTCAAATTTAAGGGGTATCAGCATTACCTGAAGAGCTTGCTAAAACACTGCTGGACCCACCCCAGCGTCTGATTCAGTGGGCGTGGGATGGGGCCAGGGAGTCCATTTCTAGCAAGTTTCCAAGTGATGCTAATGTTGCTGGTCTTGCTTACATACTTTGAGAAACACTAAAATGTTCCAAAGAACATACAGTTTTCACTGAAAATCAGAACATCTGTAATAGATGAAAGCTGTATGCAAGATACCTTATCAGGAAATAACTGTATAGCACTTGGTTCAGATATTAGGTTTTGATAATCATAATTTCATTCTGTGAGACAGTTTTTTGAGCAGTAAGGTTTTCTAATAACCTACGTTGAATTTCTTTCAGGTTAGAGGTGATAATAAATGTGAAGTGTCTCAGGTCTCACAAAAGTCCATTCTGAGGGAGGTGAATTCTTGACACAGGACAGACCTCACTATCACTTTTCCATGTGGAGAGCCGTCTCCTCAGTGGCAGTCACACCAGGCCCTATCTTCACAGCAGCTAGCCAGTGGGAATGGGGCAAAGACTGGAAATGGCACATGTCTTTATTTCAATTCCTGTTCAAGTGCATAGTGTGTCATCAAAACGAGTGACTCCAAGGGAAGCTTATTTTATTTCAAAATATAGTTCAGGTAAACTAGACCAGCAAGGAAAAACTAAAGTGGTCTTCAAAATAGCATTGAGATATGTCTTTGACTTGGAAGTTCAGTTTGGGGAATTCAGAGATGGACCACACCTGCATTAAATGTATCTACAAGGTCAGATGCAACAGCATTAATCGTATCATAATGCTAGAATCAACCCATATGCTCATCTGTACAGACAGGCTAAAGTATATCAGCACAGTGGAGTACTGTACAGCTGGAAAAAAGAAGACAAGTGCTGACTGTGAAACCATGAGAAAATTGCCAGGGCACGCCAATCAGAAAACCAAGGGACAGCAGAGTCCTCTAGCGTGGGCTACTTTTCTGTGTGTTAAAAAGCTGCAGGGGACATGCTGGGTGGGCAGGAAGAAAGTATCTTTGTATTTGTTCCTGTTTGTATAAAGAAACCCCAGGAATGACATAATAAAATTAAAAATGTCAACATCTGTATTGAGAGCAGTAGGCGAGTGGGGTAGGGGCAGGAAACACTGCAGCTGGGGAAAGCTCCACAGTGACTCTCCCAGCTCACACTCTCAGTCTTTGTATCAGGCTGCTTGCTGGACTGTGCTACTTAGTTGTCTTTCTGGCTTCCTAAATTCCACATAGCCAAAAATCCTCCCAGTCCACACTGAGCTCACCTTTCTCTTTGGTCTTTTCCCTGTTCTTGTCTGGGTAGGTGGCCAATTGTCCAGTGACCCACAGCAAAGATAAGGCAGCTCCCTGGACTCATCCTTCCCTCCCATCTCCTATAACAAGTAGGTTATCAGTTCCAGTAACTTACCCTCAGACCCTCCCTGCTCCACTGTGTTATCTTCAGCCCCTGCTCCTTGCTTGAACAACTAAAGAGTGTTCTCTGCCTGCCAAAGGGCCTCGCCCATGGTACCCTCCAGGGTGCTTCCCTATGTAAAGCTGTGCAGTGGTTTCAAATACTGCTCACATAGGAAGCCTGGTGAGCTGTACACCCTGTGTGATTGGTCCTTTTCTGCTTATCTTGCCCCATTTGCTTGATTCAGGCATGAAGTCATGGTGTAGTACACCCCTACTCTGCAAGGTTTCCAGGGTCTTTCATGCCCCTGTGCTTGTCTTTGGTTCCCTTCAGGACTCTTTCTGGCCCTGTCCTCCTGCCCCACACTCCTATTGGGTTTGGTGTCTGGGTCTGTATCAGGGTTAAGCCAGGAATGACAGGAAACCTACAGTACCAGAGAGGCTTAAATATGGTGGACTCTTTCTCTTGCATGACTGAAATACAGAGGGTAAGGGGGCTGGGGCTCCCTGTAACTGGTCCACCATCCTCATCGTGAATCTTTTCCCTCTTTGTCTGAGAAGCCTGTTGGGGCCCAGCTGTTGCATGAGCATTCTAGCTGGCAGGGAGGAGGAAAGGGCACAAGAGGTGTGTCTCCTTTTTAGATACTTTGTGGGCGTTGAGCAAGATGAGTGGAGCTAGCCACATGGTCACTCCTAGTTGCAAGGGAGGCTGGAGAAAGCTTTTTCTGTTGGTCACCTGCCCGTGTACCACTCAGTGTTTTGTCCCTGTGGTAGTGGGGATTTCTGGTGAGCCCTGCCATAATGCCCCTCCCACTGTCTTGGTCCTTCTCCACCTGGCTCTGGGGCTAACACGTACCCGATATGAATGTTGTTCCTTGTTATCATGGAGCGATAATAATGAACACCAAGGAACCTGGAGTAAAAAACCTACATGAAGAATTGAGCCTCCCCCTGCTTTATCCCTCAGGCTTAGGAAGACTCTTAAAAAAAAACTTATTTAAAAAACAAACAACGAAACTTCACAAAGGATTTAGATCATTCAAGGCCCAGGTGCTGAGACAAGGGAAACTGGAATGGCTTGGTGATAGGCCGGGGTGGGGGTGGGGGGTAATAGTTCATGGTTCTGCTTAAAGTATCTATTTTACCTCTAATGAGAAGCGGAAACCAATTTGTTTTTTAGGTCTTTTTAGAAATATAGTTTATAGTGACATTTCAAGCAAAATTATGGTTGTCAGATTCTAAGCTGAGAATAATTTAACTTACGCATGATTAAAGAGTAAGCAGGGTTTAGGCCTTTGAGACGAGTATTTTCACCTTCCCTCTGCCCAGTGTATAACGATGCATGGTGCAGTGTGCTTAATTTCAAACGCCTAGCATGAAAAAGCATCTTGTTACATGATAGTCACATCAGGTAGTGGGGGGCCTGCCTGGGAGGCGCTTACCACTTTGGAATTTGCCCAGGGCTGTTTCATACAGGGTGTCCATAAAGTTCTTGTGCAGTTTAAAATGGTTGTCTATCTTCTGGACACCCTGTACTATTCTTTGGCATAATTAGCTTTTATAAAGTGGGAGGGTACATGCATCTTAAAACTTCTCTTCCCTTGGTTTGTTAATATTTTGATGTATATTACTTTCTGTAGTTGTACAGCTATTGGCTGTGACCAAAAGTTCAACACAAAATCAAACCTGAAGAAGCATTTTGAACGCAAACATGAAAATCAGCAGAAACAGTACGTGGTAAGTATGACTTAAATGTTTAAGATTTTCAAGTATTTTTCAGAAAACTTCAGAAACTTCGTATGTTTCTGAAAGTTTTCATCCATCATATTTTCCTGTCAAATATCTGAATTTAGTCTTCTCTAGCTGTCACCATAAAGGTTTTATTTGGAAGCAAACATGGTGTGAATTAAAGTGTAGTATTGAGAGAGGACCTCAACTGAAACATTTTTGCTTTTTCAAGTGTCATTACTCCTAAAGCTTCTTGAGATAAAGTAGAAGTTGACAGTAACTAAATGAGTTGAAAGTAGCAGTTATATAATCTCCACAATGTTTTTATCTTGAGAAGATTCTGTTATGAACTGTGGTGGTTTTTAAAATATTTTTCTCAGAGACTAACAAGTATCTTCTGAACAGTGCAATTTTGAAGGTTGTGAGAAGACCTTTAAGAAACATCAGCAGCTGAAAACCCACCAGTGCCATCATACCAATGAACCGCTATTCAAGTAGGTAACTCACATGGCTGAAAATCTCTTACATGCTGGGCATGGATGAGATGGAAATGCAAAAATTGGAAACAAGGGTTCTGGAACAGTTCCTGATCAGTGTTTTCCTGTTACCGTGCCCTGCATATGCATGCTTATATATAGGGGCATTTTAATTTTGCTTTTGTTTCTCTAAAAGAAATATGCATTTCAAAATAATTTGGAAGATTATTACAGTTGTAATTAAGCTTGAAGGGAAGGCTAAAAGATGACTCATCTATTCCAAGAGAGCCTATTTAAGTATGTGAAACGTCAGTATGAAGACACTCACTCTTTTCTTGCAGAACAAAAAACAAAAGTAATTGGCTTCAGCCTGCAATTAGAGAGGGACTAAGTGCAGGCTGGACAGACCGGACTAGACCTGGAAGGGGCTGGCACTCAGGCTCCTATGGATGTCATTACTCCTAAAGCTACTTGAGATAAAGTAGTTTACCATGTCTCTGAGTTGCTGTGGTGACCATGCCTGCTGCCTGTCCTTGCTGTGAGTCTGCCACTTACTCTTCGTTCCGCAGATGGCATTAGAGCAGAAGTGCATGTGCCTTTTCCTGTGCACCTGGGGCTCATGTGTCTATTGCTGTATTCTCAGATCACACAACCCCTGTGCAGTTTCAGTAGGAAAACAAAACTAGATAGGAGCGAATTAGAGTGGCAGTGTTTACTTAAGCCAAGTCAGATAACCTCGTGGACTGTCTTCTCTGTAGCCATGAAAGCAGAGTGTATTTTCATCTCTATACAGATGGAAATAGTGTTTAATTTGGTTACATAAGCAAAAGAGTAACATGACTGTTCCCTCTCAAATGGTGCATTTTGGCCCAAGGCTGGCCAAGTAACTTGCATTTCACTTATGACTAGTTCGACATTTTAATCTTATTTTTATATGATGGGTTTGGTTGTGGGAAGAGGCAAGACTTTGGTGGGAGAATTAGGACAAAGTACCATTTACCCTAAGTGGAATCCTCTTTGAGAATGGACTGGTTAATACTTCCTGTGTCGCTAACACAGATGTACCCAGGAAGGGTGTGGGAAGCACTTCGCCTCACCCAGCAAGCTGAAGCGACACAGCAAGACACATGAGGGTAGGTATGGACAGCCCTGGTGTGCTGACTTTGAGGGCCATGCTGAGTACTTGGTGCCTGCTGGTCTCTTTCAGGGTCATATTGAGAAAAAGGAACTCCGTAGGCATGGGGCCATCCCTGTGCCTATTCATTTCTTATAGTCTTGTCGAGAGAGGCCCCATGTGTGTGTTTTACTCCTGTCACTGCTGTGCAGGGTGCCTGGTTACACTTGATGCTTGTGAACATGTTAGTACTCCAGCCAAGGCTTTGCTCCTTCAGTTTGTTTTTAACCTCTTCTATTTCCTGCCATTCTTTGCTTGTTGGCTATGCAACAAACTTGGATAATAGTTTATAGTTTTCAGAGTCACCAGATGTCACTTTTTTTTTTTTTTTTTTGAGACAGAGCCTTAAGCTGTAACCCTGGGTAGAGTGCTGTGGCATCACAGCTCACAGCAACCTCCAACTCCTGGGCTTAGACAATTCTCTTGCCTCAGCCACCCAAGTAGCGGGTTGGCCCACCACAATGCCTGGCTATTTTTTGGTTGCGGTGGTCATTGTTGTTTGGTGGGCCTCGGCTGAATTTGAACCCACCAGCGCTGGTGTATGTGGCTGGCGCCTTAGCCGCTTGAGCTACAGGCACTGAGCCCAGATGTCAGTTTTTTAAAAAAAGACTTGATTAACTGCTTGAATCTATTCTCTGTTTCCATGAAGGGTTTTTGACATCTCTAATTTCCCAGGTCCTAGAATTTATGTTTTTCTGGTTTTTTGTTTGTTTGTTTTGAAAGACACTGGTAGCTGAGAATGAGAGGCAGTCACCTTTTTAGTTTCTAGTTAGGGAAATTCAGCCTGCCTGTTACAGTGACTGATGAATCCAATTTTGGTGCTTTGACATGTGTTCAGGGTTTTTCTCTGGGTTCCAGTTTATTTTCTTCCTTAGCTGTACTCAGCTTCTTTGTACAGTGGGCAAACTGCTAGAGGGCAAGACTAGAGGAAGTCGGGGGTGGGGATGTGGGGGGGGGTGGCACTTTACTACATTTCAATTGTCTGCTAAGAGCAAGGCACTGTAGAACACTTGCAAAACTCAAACACAGAGCAGACAGGAAGAAGGGAACTGAGACTTGGAGACACGGGATTAAAGCAGCAGGGCGTCTGTACACAGCACACCCAACATCTGAGAACAGGAGAAGGAAAGGCATCTGTCTTGCTAAGGTAAAAAAACCCTAATGTGAAGCACCTGCTATGCAGTTGTTTGGTTTTGTTGTAACATAAACCTTTAACAGGATGCTGTCAGGTGGGAAAAAATTACATAGGCCAGAAAGTTTCGTTTCTAGTTATGGTCAGTGTTCACACTGGGTATTCATAAGCAATGTACTCATCTTTTTTTTTTTTTTCCTCAAATAGGCTATGTTTGTCAAAAAGGATGTTCTTTTGTGGCAAAAACATGGACAGAACTTCTGAAACATGTGAGAGAAACCCATAAAGGTGAGACAGGCATGAGTGGAATGCTATAGACTCCCGCCCCTACAAAACTCAGCACTTTTATAAAGGGAAATGCCAACTGTGTGGCAACCTGTACGAGGTTTTGTGACATGCTAGGTACTATGGCTGTAGGATGGATGAGCAAGGCTGCACTGGGTCTCTCGGAGCCACTACCACCATGCAGCCTCCACAGGCTCTGGCAGTCTGCATTGAGGCCATCCTGGGAGCACTAGTGTTCTGCAGGAAACACCGTCCTACTGATCATATTGGATGACAAGAAAGGAAACCAATGTCTCTTTCATTTTCTCACCTAACAGTCACCACACTGCAAGCCTCTGCCCCTTGTCAAGTGAACAGCAACTGTGTATAGTGTAAGAACTTAGGAGAATTGACAGAGTTTTCTAAAACTGGGGTCACGTTTCTCAGGAATTTCTGATTTGTGTATAATGGTGAGGCTTGAGGCATTGAATGTTACTTAGAATTTTTTTCTGAATGGTGATATAGGGATGTTAGTTAAATGTGTCTGTTCCCACAGAGGAAATAACATGTGAAGTATGCCAGAAAACATTTAAACGCAAAGATTATCTGAAGCAACATATGAAAACTCATGCTCCAGAGAGGGATGTGTGTCGATGTCCAAGAGAAGGCTGTGGAAGAACCTACACAACCGTGTTTAACCTCCAAAGCCACATCCTCACCTTCCATGAGGAAAGGCGCCCCTTTGTGTGTGAACATGCTGGCTGTGGGAAAACATTTGCAATGAAAGTAAGTGCTCGCCCTCATTCACCATCCTGTAGTCTGTGCTGTGACACTGGAGCCCTGGACTCTACACCTTACACTCTTGCTTCAGCTGGTTGGTTCTTAACTAAAGGCTGTGGAACACCCAGCTTTGCCAAGCCCAATTGGTCTCAAGGGGTGGTCCTGGTCCAGGAGTGTCAGTTGAGAACTTGTTGACAGTGGAGACTCACAGCTCCACCTAGTCTGCTAAATCAGAAACTCAGAGTAGGAACAGAATCTGTTTTAGCAACCCCTTTAGGGGATTCTTATGCTTTCTCAAGGTGAGAACCAGTGGCCTTGGCATCATACCCCCACCACCTAGGGACTGGGAAGGGGCACCAGCAGCAAGGAGACCAGGGAATACAGAACTGTGGGATCTGCTCCAGGCCTCGGCAGACGGCCAGAACATGGCATGCAATGGAGGGGCCTGTGCAGTTCTGCACACTCAACTCTGGGTGGTTCTTACCATGAATCTTAAGACCGGAAAGAGAAGGCTCACTCAACAGCGGTCTAAAATCATCAGAAAACAACAGGGAGCTGATGGTAGTTGGCTTTATTGTCAAGGACAAGATGCTGGTCAGATTTCCCACCTGTGTCTATGAACACTGCTTAGACAGATGCAGTTAAAAAGCCTCCTCCTGCTTGGACTAGTTCACTTATAGGTCCCCCCCCACCTTACAAAAGAACTAAGAAGCCAATGCTGGTTGGGAGTACATAATGAGTCCTTAGAAAAAGTAATGATTTAAGTCCAGGATTTGAGAGAAAAGTCCTACTTTAGCTCTGGTGGGGGAATTAAGAGTCAAATCCCTCAACAAGCACATAACAGAAAGAAGGTTGACAGTTTCAAATAACTCATGGAGTTTTCATGTTAATAGACACCAAATGTCAAGTGTTTTTAAAATGTAACATTTTCTTTTTCTTTCATTATAGCAAAGTCTCACTCGACATGCCATTGTGCATGATCCTGACAAGAAGAAAATGAAATTCAAAGTAAGTTGGAACTTCTTGGGCTATTTCTTTAAAAGAGAAATTATTTGGAACCAGATAGGAGCTGGGCATACTGGCTCAGGCCTGTAATCCCAGCACTCTGGGAGGATCTTTTAAGGTCAAGAGTTTGTTAACAGCCTAATCAAAAGCAAGACCCCATCTCTACCAAAAACAGAAAAAAAACAGGCAGTGCCTGTGGCTCCCTGAGTGGGGCACCAGCCCCATATACTGAGGGTGGCGGGTTCAAGCCCAGCCCCAGCCAAACTGCAATGAAAAATGGTCAGGCGTTGTGGCGGGTGCCTATAGTCCCAGCTACTCAGGAAGCTGAGGCAGGAGAATTGCCTGGGCCCAGGAGCTGGAGGTTGCTGTGAGCTGTGTGACGCCAAAAAGAAAAGAATAAGAAAAAAACTAGTTGAAAGTGGTAGTGTGCATCTGTAGTCCCAGCTACTTGGGGGCTGAGGCTGGAGGATCACATGAGCCCCAGAGTTTGAGGTTGCAGTGAACTATGAGGAGAACCATTGCACTCTAGCCAAGGCACCAGAGTGAGATTCTCTCAAAAATACAATGAGATAGAATCTGTTTGGAATATTTTCAATTACTATATGAGTCTGCACTACTATTAAAGACTTGTCTTATAAAGGAATGTTGTATACTATACCTGCTGGTACATAAAACTATTATAAAATTAATTCAGATAATTTTGATTCTGATCTCTAATTGCCTATCTTTTTTATTCTCAAAGGTAAAAAAATCTCGTGAAAAACGAAGTTTGGCCTCTCGTCTCAGTGGCTATATCCCTCCTAAAAGGAAACTAGAAGAGCAGGGCTCATCTTTGTCTAAAAATGGAGAGGCGCTGAGCTGTATGAAAGACCAGGTGCTCTCAACAGTTGCAATACTTACCCTCAACTAAATTATCACATTGCTTTGTTTAAAGGGCTCAGTAATTTTCCTTCAGAAGCATGTTTTTCTTTATTAAAATCACAGATGTAAAACATTTGATTCTTTATCATTTCCATGATCTTTTTTCAAAGTGTCTCTTTTCTGGGTCTCCTCAGTTTCTCTATATCCGTCCTCTTCCTTTTTGGTCAGAGGACAGAGAACACACATTAAAGCTTTTCCTCCTTTAGTAGCTTGTGGCTTGGATGAGAAGGTAGCTATTCCAGGCATAGTCTCGAGTATTTGATTAAATATCTCCTCCTAAAAAAGGAAAACATCCAAAGATTAAAATAAGTATCTTTGATGCTTTCTAGTGTTAATGCTTTAATACCCATAAAACTCTTAACATTCTTGAATTGCTATTTAAGGGATTAGCATCAGTTCACACATACCTGGTCAAGCTGACTGAAATCTGTACAGTAACTTTCATGTAACTGAAGTGATGCACTGTCAAAGCTTTTTATAGTCTTAGATCTCCACTGTCATGGCACTGAGGGGCTACATTGCATTCCAGACTGCCCTCTCCCCAAAACAAGTACAAAGCAGGGGTTTGGGCATTGGCATAGTATTATCCTGAAAATTGTTAGCTCAGTGCAGTTCCCAACACTCACTAACACAGAGTCACGGGGTAATTTAAAAAAAAGACCTGGGCTCAAATTCTTCTTCACCTGGGACTAATCACCTAGTGATTATTCCATGGAGATAGTGTTCAAAACCACTGGATTAATGCTACCTTTAGTGGGTGATAAAGTTATCTGACTTTAACAGTGAAATAAGATACTCTACAAGCTTATCCTGGGCTTTTAAACTGATAAATACTTTATAGAAGACAGTTTGACCACACGGCTTTTCATAAATGCAAAGTGGAAACGAACTTAAAAGATGAGTCTGTAAAGTCGCTAGCTTTCTTATTTAATGTTTAGTCTACAATTTGTAAAACAAATTGCATATAGCTTTTATATTATAAAATATAAGTTTTCACATGGCAAAATACACTATAATGGAAAATGCATACACAGTATGTTTATGTTTTGAAAACAAGCTGATAACACTGGGTAGATTTACCAGTCATTTTTCGTTGCCTTGAAAGTCTTCAGATTTTTTACAACTATAGTTTTAGGTGGGAAAACAAACCAAAAAGAAACCAGTCAGTCATACTTGCTTTTACTTACCATTTTATTTTCTGGCTCATCTGTGTTCTTCCCTTTCTTTATAGTAATTTGAACTTTGAATTTTTTTTCAATCCAATGCTGAATCTGTTTATTCTTTGTGTCCAAATCATGTTGCCCAATATTTGAAGAAAAAGTTAGCTCCTTCATCAGGGTTGGTCCTAGTTCAAAACAGTGACATTTGGGGCAGGGCTATTATTGATGAGTCTACTATGAATCCTGACCTTTCCATATCACTTCACAGAATATTCAGTTACCCTCTACTGGTGCTCTCCTAAGACTCTGTTTCACAGACCAGTAAACACTTGATTAAATGGGAGTGATAAACATAAAGGTACTCATTTTTTACCTGCCAGGTAAGGGTATTTAAAATCTGAAATACTTCCATTTATTGTTAACCATCATTGGATGAAAAAACATAAAAAGAATGGTTGTTTAAAAGAATCAAGTTTAGCGTTATGATAAACTTAATTTCTCCCATTTTTCTTTCTGATATGAGCCAGTGTTTGGGGAGTCCTCGTCTTATCCATCTTTTCTGATGCTTTCCTTGGTATAAGGGGTCAGCCAGACTCTTGTCAGCCAGGGAAGCTCCCTATGTCTTGTGTCCACAACTTCTGTCTCCAGAAGTCCCACCTACTCAACAGGGAAGGAACAGACTGCTCAAGAAAGATACTGGGACAATTGAAAGTTTTCTGATGGGGAAGTTAGACCTCCGCAGATGAACTAATGGTCTACAGGGAAAAATTTAACTTTAGAACAAATGGAAGAAAAGATAGACTAGTTTATGACTTCAGGATAGGGAAAGGAGTTCATTATGAAAAAGACTGATTATTCTCCCATCTCAAAAATGCAACTGTGTAATAAAGTAAAAAATACATTTGGGATAAGATGATTGTATTACAACACAGAGCTAATAATCAGGAAGAAAAAGCACCTAAAAAAAAAAAAAAGAAATATGAATAGACAACTCAGAAAAATAAACCTAGATGGTGAAAAGAAATACAAATTAAAACAAGACACGGTTTCTCACCATTAGCATGACAAATCTAGAGTACCAAGTGTGGATGAGGATGTCGAAAAAATTTCATACACTGCCGAGGAAAACACTTTGACCCACTTAGTTTCAGAGACCCTAGACCAGTGATTTTTCAACCAGTATGCTGTGAGAGGATCTCAGGTATACCACAAAAAATTTTAAAGATTGTTAATTATGTTACTTTCAAAAGAAAATCAAAGCACAGTAAGTATATTCTTTTTTTTTTTTTTTTTTTTACTTTTTTTTGATCAACATAATTTAAGTGTGCCATAGAAGTTTTAACTATAGGTCGAAGTGTGCTGTGAGGTAAAAAAGGTTGAAAATCACTGGGCTAGAGTATGCACCTGTGTTCATAATAAAAACTGGACGTAAGCCCAATGTTCATGGAACTGGATTAAATTTATGATATATTCTTATGAAGACATAGGTAATAACACATTATCTATGCCTATTATATAAATATGGATAGGAATTTGAAAATGATAGTACTCCATTTTTTTGTACAAAATAATAAATACTGTTTACAAATACACCTGGAGTTTAACAACATGGCCTGGGTCTACACACTGAATGCATGAGTGGGCAGGGGCACCTCTGGGCAGGACAGATGGGAGAAGAGAATGTATAAGACAACTTTTTCTATAATGTTTTGTTTAAAAAAATTGAAAGTACAACATTAACACTTGCTCATTTTGGAAGATAGGTAATGTGTTTATTATCTTTTCCTGTATGCCTTTTAATTTCCAAAATAAAAATTATTTTTAAAAAAGTCTTCTTATTCCCCATGATTACTCTCTTCTGAATATTTTTTTGTTTTCTAGTGAACCTCATTAATGTGGGGTCACAAAACTGGCCAGATAACATGTGATTTTCTCAAGGTGCAGAAGCTCATGATGGCAACACTGGGGCCCTGTCTGACTCCTATCCCCATCCCCTATCTATTGAACAGTCTCTCAGAATCAGCACTTTTTAGGAACCATAAAAAATACCTTCACTTAACATACAACTCATGGCTTCTGTGAGGGTTAAATGACAAGTGTCTCATGAGGTACTGTAAAAGAATACTTTGACATGAAAGACACTCTATGAATCACTTTAGAGTTTAAAAGGTACTTCTAGATAATTAACCAAACACCTCCTCTTTAGAGATGAAGTGGGAAAAACACCCAGGACAGAGCTTAAATGAGTGGCCCAGGATAGGGCAAGGAATTTGAAACCATCCCTTGGAGTCTCATTCCCTTTCCCCCCCAGCTACTCTGCTCTAAGGACAAGGCTGGAGAGGGAAAAGAGCTTCCCTCATTTTGGTTTGTTCACCTTGTTTCTCCTTCATTTTACACAGGATTAGAGGAAGGGACAATGGGTAAGGTTTTTCCTTGAGGAAAAACAAAAAACGGAATAGAAATAAGGGGTGGAAGGAAAAGGGAGACACAGGGTGGCAGCACCACGAATCTGCCAATTTCTTGTTTCCCCAAAGTCACACGCACCATGTAAATACCAGAATTTAAACTGCAGATTTAAAGTCCTAAAGGATCAAGGGTCAAACAGCAAAGTCCCTACCTATTTTGGGCCTAGCCTTCTCCCTGTCTCTCAGCCTTAGTCGTTCTTCGTGAATCTGTATCCCTGTCATCAGCTGGTACTGCGGTGGCTCCGTGTTGGCATCCCTCACAACCAGCCTCAGGTCTCGCTCGTCCAGGAGTCTAATCACATCTGCTCGGTGCATGTTTCCCAAATCATTGCCCTTCTCATCCAGTACGTGAATAATTCGGGCACTAATTTTTCTTCCAATGTTACTGAACAATGTTCCATCCTTTTTTTTCTTTTTTCTTTCATCCTGGATGTCTTCAACAGTGCTAAAAGCCTTTGCATGACCTAGAAAGGCCAGCCGTGGGGTAGGAGCAGTAGAGGACCACCATACTGGTGCTGTCTTTTGCACAATGTGTTTTCCAAAACATCCAATGCAATTGTTTTCAGTCTTTATAGTTTGTAGAGTTAACCTATTTAGAAAAAGGGCAGCCATCCTAAGAAAGTAGAAAGAAAAGTTCATTAAAATTCAGTCACTTACTCCTGTGGTCTGATACTGTGATGTGTGTGAGGCTGCACAGACTACATTATCTGTTAAGTGCTAAGGAGATGCTGTTCCCTGGACTACCAAATTCATGCAGAGGAAACCTGTACCACTAAGGTGGACTATCAGTCACCTTGGTCAGGTGGCACTGCCCCCAGCACAAGTGGTTATTAGAATAAGCCAGATTTGCACAGTGCTTTGGTTTTCCATTTTTTTCTTCTGTATACACAATCTCATCTGACTATTTTTCTTTCTTTCTTTCTTTCTTTTTTTTTGAGACAGAGCCTCAAGCTGTCCCCCTGGGTAGAGTGCCATGGCATCACAGCTCACAGCAACCTCCAACACCTGGGCTCAAGCGAGTCTCCTGCCTCAGCCTCCCAGGTAGCTGGGACTACAGGTGTCCGCCACAACGCCTGGCTATTTTTTGGTTGCAGCCGTCATTGTGGTTTGGCAGCCAGGGCTGGATTTGAACCTGCCACCTTAGGTCTATGTGGCCGGCGCCTTAGCCACTTGAGCCACAGGCGCCGAGCCCATTTGACTATATTTCCTATAAATCTTTTAGCACCAACTCCAAAAGCAGATATCATCTTGAGAGTTTATGAGAATGTAGCATATAAAATGATTGGTGATTCATAAACACCAATGCATAAAACTTTAGTATAATTAACTGTTAACAATGTATCAGTGCAGTATCTCACGATATACAAAAGATAAGAATACTATGGAAAAGAGGCCTCTCCAAGAAAGAAGCTGACCCACTGAAAGAAGTAACTGAGACTGTGAAAAAGGAAATACTCTGACATAAACTGAAGTGCCAGCCTCAAAAACTATAAACATTTTTCAGGTATTACTGCCAAATGTTAATGGCAACATATATGATGACAGCAGTTTTACTTCATGGCAGTAAAGATCTATACTTCCTAAAGATCTATAGGAAATATAGTCAAATGAGCACTGACTTGGAAGCACTTACAAATTGTACTTTGATTTTTTTAAATTACACTTCTCTCCTTCCACTCACGCATTTAGTAAATCTTAGAGGCACAGGTTGAAGGAGTGTTGACAGGACTTGTCATCTCATCTAGGGTATGCCAAGTAACATTACAGAGTCAAGAACTAAAAGAGGTGTGACTTGTTGGAGGAAAGAGGAAAAAAGGTGTCTTCAGTAGTGCTTCTTAAAGAACAGTCCCTGTGCCACCTGTATGAGAATCACCTGGGTGTTTAAAACTGGAACTTTCCTCTGGTCCCTAGCTTTGAACCTACCATGCTGTATGACCCACTGATGCCTCAACCCCTCATGTTGAAAAGTGATATGAAAAAAAAATACAATAAATTAAAGTGATGAACAAACAGTGTACTTCCATCCTTATCTAGCTTGCTAACACTCAACGCCCACACTGACAGTTCTAGCTCTAATCTCTGCCACTTAGAGCATTTAATGCCTACCCAGCATTTCCACCTAGGTATGCAATAGTCATCCCAGAGTTAACGAGTCCAGAATTCACTTCAGAATCTCCCACACCAAACCTGCTACGCCCCTCAGTCTTCCCTGTCCTAGGCTGGGGTGCAGTGGCATCATCATAGCTCATCACAGCTTCTAGCTCCTGGGATCAAGCGATCCTCCTGCCTCTGTCTCCCAAGTTATAGGCGTGCCTTCCCATACTCCCATCTCAAAATGCAAAATTCTTTTCAAACAAGTAAGCCAATAAACAAAAATACTAGACGTAAGGAAAAGATGGAAAGAAATGTATTAAAACCCTGGTTATTTGAGGTTCGAGACAAAAGTGATTTTCCCCTTATCTTTTCTAATCATCATTACTTCTCAAATTTTTATGAGTACTATTTTTATACTTGTAAATAAATTCTACACATATTTGTTTATAAAACAAAGACTATTTCAGCTTTAAAAACCATTTCTAAGGAGAGAAAAAGGGAAAGGAAATGAGTAGAAAAATACTGCAACAATGTTTTCTAATTCAAAGCCTTTTACCATTATTCAAATTTAATTTTAATTTAAAAAAGCTTCAAATTTTCTTAACTTATACAGTAGACAAAATAGTTCATTGCAATTCAATTTTACTACTACTTAAATTTTGGCTTTAAATTAGCAAAGTTGAAAATACACGTTACTTCAAAATAGGCCCTTAAAAATAAAAATTCCTATGATATTAAATTTGAATTATAAATGCCAACATAAATTCAGAAGTTTAAAACCTTTTATTGGCAAACTTCAAACTCCTACAGCACAAACAGCATAACAAACAGCACGTGCCTAGCTTGTTTCATCTGTGCCTTCAACCATCTCCCTTCCCAGCTACCCAGGAAGTATTTCAAAACAAATCCTATTATATCAGTGAATACCACAGTTTGTATCTCTAAGAGGCATGATTTTAACTTTTTAATAATCACAATAACATTATCCCAATTAATAACTGTTCCTTTCTATCATCAAATACCTAGTTTTCAGATTTCCCTGATAGTGTTGTAATTTGTTTGTTTACATGTCATTTCCAGTTTGGCAGCATGAAGAGACTCCCACTGGTCAAATTTGGTATAATTTAAACATAAAAGAGTAATGACTGTAATTCATTTCAACACACTAAATATGCAAAAATCTATGAAAATGATAGTTTGCCACAACTGCATGTGGCTGATACTCTAATTCCTTACTTTGAAAATTGGTAAATTGGTAATTAAACAAAACGAACTAAGCTTTTATCCTACCTTTTTAAGAACTGTAATCATCCCCACTTGATGAGGAAAAGCTCTTCTTCACAGAAGAATGACAGCTAATAAAAGGAAAAGCAAAGTAAACACAATTAGAAAATTACCATTTGGCCATCTCCAAAGAAATCACTGATTAATGTAACAGTAGATGTGAAAAATTATTAGGCAGAAAGCTGACGCCAAAGGGTCACCCACAGATGACTTGCAGACGGAAGAAAAAAAACATACTTTGCCAAGGAGACAGCTGTCTGCCACCATCTTAATCAAAGGTCAAACTCAGCATCTTCAATGATGGGACAACTGGCCATCCCAGCAGCTCCCTCCTGATGTGAAGCCACTCACAGTGCACCAAACCTATGAAGCGGCCTTGCCAAGAGGCTGACCCTGAGCCTGAAGCAGTGTCAGGGGCTGGCTTCCGGTTTCCAGAGGATACAAGGGCCAGGCTCAGGGAGAAACAAATTAGAGGACTCTACAAGGTGTCTTGTTCCAGATCCAGATTGTGGGACAAGACAACTGGCTTGTTACCTAAAAAAGTCAATGTCATTAGGGATAAAAAAGGGTATTCACACATAAAATGCTGAAAAGGTATGTTGGGAATGAGGGGTAGAATCTGAATAGGGACTAGGTATTAGGTACTGTTAGAGAAGCACTGTCAATTTTCTTAGGTGAGAAAATGGAATTCTTAGGGAAGGAATGCTGAAGTATTTAGGGTAGTGTCAGGACATGTCAATTACTTTGAAAAGGTTCAGCGGAAAATATAAAGTTAGACAATGCAATTATGGCAACATCTGCTGAACCTAGGTTATGGTTATATATGTGTTCAGTTATTAGTCTTTCCACTTGTGTGTTATTTTTCATAATTAAAAAGTTTTTAAAAAACCAATCAGGCCAGACATGGTAGCTCACTCCTGTAATCCCAGTACTTTGGGAGACCTAGGTGAGACGATCACTTGGGCTCAGGAGTTCAAGACTGTAGGGAAATAAGATCTCGCCACTGCACTCCAGCCTAGGTGACAGAGCAAGGCCCTGTGTCTAAACACAAACAAACAAAAACGAACAAATAGCCTACAGGGAAAAAAGCTCACTTCACTAGTCATGGCAATATGACTACTTAGTCTGCGCAGTTCTAAATTTCACCGTAACTTAATATTATACATTGGTACTCTGGCTTTGTACAGCTTTACCAAAGTTTCAAGCCTGTGACTAAGCAACCTGTAAGTAAGGAACCTTATAAACTTAAAATTCTAAATTATTCTGTGATACAAATCACCTTTATTTTTCCATCTAGTTTTCATCAAACCCAAGTCTAGAAGTATCTCATCATCATAAATGGTGATGATATCAGTTTGAGATAATCAGTTTGATTATCAGTATGTATAATTTCTTGCTAATAAACAGAAGTTCACACAACTATACTGTGGCAAGGTTTCTCAGAAACTAGAGGCCTGTCAGCATCATTTGGGGGTGTTTCTCAAAGCACAAGTATTTCTTCTCCGGTAAAGAACCACTGGGTTAGGACCAAAAAAAAAAAAAAAGAGAGAGAGAGAAATTTAAGAAAATGAGTAATAAAACATTATAATGTAAGTTGTTCAAAGGTAGTTTGAGGCAGGATGTTTGAGATTACCCTTAACCTTTAAAGGCTAATGTAAAACAGGAAGCAATGTTCTCTGACAAACGTCTTTGCTACTTCTGTCAGATAAATAATACTAAATTCAACAGACAGACCAGCAGTCTCAATCAAAATAAAAATGCTGGCTCGGCGCCTGTGGCTCAAGCGGCTAAGGCGCCAGCCACATACACCTAAGGTGGCGGGTTCGAATCCCCAGCCCAGGCTCGCCAAACAACAATGACGGCTGCAACCAAAAAATGGCCAGGCGTTGTGGCAGGCGCCTGTAGTCCCAGCTACTGGGGAGGCTGAGGCAGGAGACTCACTTGAGCCCAGGAGTTGGAGGTTGCTGTGAGCATGATGCCATGGCACTCTACCCAGGGGGACAGCTTGAGGCTCTGTCTCAAAAAAAATAAAAATAAAAAAATAAAAATGCTATGTTCTTAGGATGATATTGGTGCATCTGCTGTACTCTTACTCCCACAACTATACTGTCTCTGAGACATCCATAATATCCTAAAAGCCAATTATCTTAACATCAGTTTACTTAAAATGCACAATTTTATATAATAAGATGCCCATTTATGATTTGATGACCACTCAGACCTTAACAGAATCAGGCCGTGCTGCATGAGTCTGCATCTACCCATAGCTTTAAATTTAATAGCTGACTCCACACTGTAGAAAGAAACCCATAATTTCTTTTTATTTATTCCTTATTTACTGCAGACTGGATCAAAACTCCAAGACTTTCCTAGGATGATATAAGAAAGAAAGAATGCCAACGGCATCATTCCAAATGTATATAATACAGTTATTTTGATTTATGATCCACATACTCCATAAGAAACTGAAATTATTTAAATAGTAGCCATAAAGTAGGAAATTATGAAATAAATATGTGGCTATCTCCATATGCTACACAGTTCATGTGAGCCTACAGTTGTGTTCATTTATTTTCATATTACTCTTCAGTTGTCTAAAATAAACAACATTCTTTAAAGGACTATACTCCCCAACATCTTGTTATGAAAGTTAAACATATAGAAGAATTTTCTGTTAAACACAAAAAAATGTGAAACTTTACAGTGAGTACCCACTGCCTATTACCTAGATTCTATACTTAGTGTTTTTATTCTTGCTTCACTTATCCGTGTACTCCTCTTTCCATTCATTTTGCTTACATTGTTTTTGCTTTTTTTTTTTTGGCTGGGGCCGGGTTTGAACCCGCCACCTCCAGTATATGGGGCCGGCACCCTACTTCTTGAGCCACAGGCGCTGCCCCATTTTGCTTAAATTTTGATACATTTCAAACTAAGTGGCATACAGTAGTACACTTCATCCTCAAATACTTCCTCAGCATCTATATCATTAACAAGAGTTTAATATTTAAAATTAAATTTTTTCTTTTGATATAAAATTTACACGTAATGAAATGTACAAACCTTGAGCATTTGATCAATAAATTTTGACAAGTACTTACATTTCTGTAACCAAAACCCCTATCAACTTGTACAACATCACTACCATCCCTGAAAGTTGCCTCATGCCTCCTCCAAGTCAATCCCCATCCCTACCCAGAGATAACCATTGTTCTGATTTTTTCCATCATAGTCTGTTCTAAGACATCATAGAAATAAGACTGAACAGTATATATATTTTGTTGTAAGGCATCTCAGAGATACAATGTTTTCAAGATGTATCCATGTTGTATGTATCATTAGTTTGTTCCTTTTTACTTTGGAGAAGTATCCTCCTAGTATATGAACATACAGCAGTTTTTAAATCTAGTTTTCTGTTAACGAACACCCATGCTGTTTTCAGTTTTTGGCTATCATGAATAAAGTTACTGTGAACATTCTTAAACCAAAAAAAAGGTGACAATTACTGCTCCAAAGGTCAGCTGTATTCCCTGTATAATACAATATTTTCCATTTTCCTGAAGGTACTGATAACATATTTGTAAAGAAACTTCTTGGAATACAATTTAAATATGTGGTTTAGAAAATATAATCATGAGGGGTGGATGGGAAGTTCTGCACTATAAGAAATTAAATTGCTTACATGCATTTTATTTTTTTTTATTTATTTTTTTATTTTATTTTATTTTTTTTGAGACAGAGCCTCAAGCTATCCCCCTGGGTAGAGTACTGTGGCATCACAGCTCACAGCAACCTCCAACTCCTGGGCTCAAAAGAGTCTCCTGCCTCCGCC